TAATTAGCTGTTATAAAGCTTACTTCTCTAAGGGACTCGTAATATTGTGGGGGGCTCTGCAAAGCTACCAAGGCAGCTTCTTGGAAAGGTGCTGGAGCAGAATCTGTAAGTCTTATATGGATGTTTCTTATAGCATCAGCTATACATGCAGGGGCAATGGCCCATCCGATTCTCCAACCTATAAGAGTAGAAGATGATCCAGAAAATTAATTACCAGGAAAAACAATTTACCAAGACTAAAAAATTTAACGAGAGCAAATGGCCAATATTATAACAGGGAAAAGAAAATTCATATTTCATTACTTTCAGAATTCCCAAATTTAAATACAGATAATTGACCCCATTACTTGTTTCAAAAAAAAAAAAAAAAAAAAAAAAAAAACAGACCCCATTACTCCACAAGTCATAAATCTCATAATATGGATCCAACCCTGTATGTGAGAGTGCCAATTAAGAAGATAGGATCCATCCCTGTATAAGAAAGTGCCAAATATGAAAATGGTTGCATAGTATGGGAAGGCAGTTGAGATCACCTGTCACACAATAAGTTTTAGACAAAGAAGAAGTGATGATGGTCCGCTCTTGCATTCCTGGAAGAGAAGCAAGGGATATGTGCCTTTCATTATCATAGGTTATGTATTCATACACCTGGAAAACATGATTATCTCAATATAAGATGTGGGTTTCACTGTCACCTAGTACTTTAATAGATGTCACAAGTCTTATGGAAACTATTGATCATAAAAACAGCATTAGTATGCAAAAACAAAGACATGATGGGACACCATATAGTACGCTGCACCTCAAATAAAAAAGTTTGATGCCAATAGAAGTAAGAAAATTATCTGCCCGTACTTCATCTGTAACAGCTAGGCAGTCCCATTTTTGGCAAGCTTCAGCAATTATGTCTCGCTTGTCTACTCCAAACACTTTCCCGGTAGGATTATGAGGGCTGTCATTTTGTATCAGTATTTTACATTATATGTAGCAGTTTCAGTATACTACATCGTTGTAATTTGAAACATAGTCATCATACTCATCAAACTTTTTTCATCTTTTGACAAATAGTAATTTAAGCCCATTGTAAAGTTATTCAAAAGTGCGTCCTCAAAATAAAAAAATAAAAAAAAAGTTATTCAAAAGTGATCCTTTATTTTCTCCTCAGTAGCAAAGAATTTAGGGTGTGTGACCAATTGACTATTGGAGGGTAAAGAACTGCAAAAAATTCCAAACCTGTTCAATACTATAGCTTTTGTCTTGGAAGTACAAGCCTTCATGAGTTTCTCTGGGTCCAGAGTCCAATAAGGGGGGTCTAGGGGCACAAATACCTGGCAAAAAATTCAGAGTTCAGGCAAAATATCAAATAATATACGAAGTATGTTTTAGCCATTTTCTATTTAATCATTCGGGAGTAGTGAGCTGAATTAAGCCTTAAGCAAACCATAATAAAAAGGCTTACTGGGACTCCTCCAGCCATTCTAATGCAAGATTCATATGTCTCATATGACGGGTCAAGCACGATAACTTCATCACCTCGATCAATTACTGCACGTGGCATTCAGAGAATACCATTGAAAACTTGTTAGAACTACTATCTTAAAATTACTGAAACACAATGTAATGCAATTTCTGCCAGATAGTGTGCACGTCTTCCTTTTAGCCATTGCATTACCTTGTGTTGCATTCTACCAGGCATAAGTTGAACTTACAGGCAAACATTGCTGCAGCAAACGCCTCAGTTTGACCACAAGTAATCACTATATCTGTCACAGGGTCAATATCCAAACCGTGCATGTCCTTCATATTCTTTGCTACATAATCACATATTTCCTGCACATGTCTACTAATCTATAGTCAGATTCAGACTCCATATACCAAAACAAATCTCAAGGATCACAGTCCTATAACTACAAATTCCAAACTAGACGCAATAATAGGTCACCTTTTAATCAACAAACTTGCTCGTATAAGCTATAAACCTCAACACTGCTTTAGTCGATTCTAATCAACTTGGTTGCAAAAAAGAATTCTGTGTACACAACAAAATCTAAAGTTCTAAACCCTTACAACATCCATTCTGGTTACTGATTCTGGCCTTGTCCCAACTAGCAAAAACATATGCAGATAATCATTATATTTACTCATACTTCAACCATCTTTTGAGCACCCATAGTATAATTCCAGCTCAAAACTACCTATTAGGCACATTCAATTCTCCCCTTCTATGATAAAACAGAGATGGTCCTAATAAAATTTGTCCGCATCAAATGAAATCAAAATATCAACTCCATACCTGTATACAACATATTTACTTCTAGTGCTAAAACTGCTAACAAATGCAAACCATCAGAATGTCCATTATAATCCCGGTGTAATTACACCCTCTCACGTTCTTGTGTGGCATGATCATAATCTATCCAGTATGTCCCCTCCGAACAATTTTTTTTTTTTTTTTACTCATTTGCTTATTTGGTTGTATAATAGAAATTGTCTAATTTTTCAATTTTATAACAAAGTATCTCAGGAATATCCATCAGGAATAACCCATGAATAGGAAACTAAAATAAATTAATTATGGGTCTATTAATGTAATTTTACTCCCTCTCACGTTCTTAGGTGGCGTGATCATAATTTACCCACATATCCTTGGGAAAACTCATTCTTTTTACCCGTATACTACTTATTTGGAGCTTGGCCATACAAGCAAACGACAAAAATAAAATAAAATAAATTAAATAATCTTAGTTGTATTGTGCAACCGGTTGTACAACAGAAATAACCTAAAAATACTTGTAATTAAATTTACCAGTCTATAACAATCTATTTATAACTAATACTACAGTAGCAACCAATGGCATCATTTTATTTTAAAAGTAGACATATGTCAAGTTGTCATTAAAAATTTTCCCTCCAAAATTATAAATGATATCATCATTTTCTGATTTTTATTTTATTTTATTTTATTAAAATTCTAATCAGCTATGTACATTATAATTAGTATCAATTTTCGAAAAAGGGTATAATCTCTTCAACAATAATAATTTAATTTTTCTTCTTCAGGTATCCCTTTTATCATTCAATTTCTCTATTAGCTCTATTTTTTAAAAAATATTTGATGTTTTATTTGTTTTGTGATTTTTTTTTGTGTTTAATTTTTATATGAAAAAATAAAAAATTTAGAAAATTTTATTTGATCAAATCATGCATCGCACAAGACTAATATAGTAAGTCAATAACCAAGCATCTCAAGAATATTCATGAAGAATAACCCAAAAATAGGAAACTAAATTAATTTAAATCATGGGTCAAACCATCTAAGAAAATAACATTTTGGGGAAGGTGGGTACAAATAGATACTCAAATATAGAAGAAGAAAAAAAAAATAGAGGAGAGAGAAAATAATGTAAAACCTGTATTGATTAAAGTCAGAATTAATGGCAGAAACAGCAGCATTTTTGATATGGGAAGGAGCAGGAAAGTCAGGGAAACCTTCAGCAAGATTAATGGCATTGCAACGTTGAGCAAGATGAGAAAGTTGTTGAATTGGTGAAGGTGTTGATGATTTTGCAAATGATGATAATTTTTCCTCCATTTTTTTTTTTCTGGGTTCAAAGAAATCAAATAAAAACCTTATCTTATCACATTAATCAATGCGGGTCGTGCATGAAAAAGGGCGGCTTTTGTTTAAAGATTAAACGTGGTTGTGGGTATTAATTATATCATCTGAATTACTGTTAACACGTCTTAATCAGAATAATCACCAGCTGCGGTTGTACAATACTTGTACCCGTTTCCTTCAAGTTGAGTGGACGAGTGGCGAATCAGGTAGTTTGGATTGGGTAAATTTGATTCGAGTTTTATCTAGCACGAGTAGGTAATTTGGTGGGTAATTTGATTTCTCGATCATTCATGATAAGTATTTTCTTATTAATTCTTTTTTTGGGATTGTGGTTAAATTTTGAGCCAAGTTATATCTATTTTTTTTTTTTTTTGTCAAACATATACTTCCTCCATTCTTTTTTTATTGCATCATAGGGGTTTTGGAGGCAAAATTCGGTAGTGAGAAAAAGTAAGAGAGAGAAACGTAAAAATACAAAATTGTCCATGTAATGTAAAGATAAAATAAAAAGTAAGTGTGAAAAAGTAAGGGTATGCTGAGTATTTGCAGTGTGAACATAAATATTTTTTGTCCTAAAATGGAAATGATGCAATGTTTGTGAAACTTCCCTAAAAGACAAGTGATGCGATATTAAAAGAACGGAGGAAGTATCAAATTTAATTTTATTAGACTAGATTGTTTAAATTAGATTAGGTCAACTTTAGTTTGGGTCTAAATTGAATTTTGTAATTTCAATTATAATTTGAGTTTGGGTCAAGTATTTTTGGTGCATGTTTGATTAGTTTGGTTGACAATTTACAAAAATTCATATTAAGTACTTGTTTGGTTGACATAAAAAGTAAAAATGAAAGTAGAAATTTATGGGAATTTACATTTCCTACAAAACATCAAAAATGAATTACCAAGCCCATCTTAGTCAAACAAAATTAATTGAGATTTCAAATTCTCTTGTTGTTATCTAAACTAGTTAAATTATGATTTTCAATGATAATTTAATTTCGGTGACAACGAAATAAGCACTTAATCATTAGAAAAAAAAACTTGTAAAGTTACACTTTCTAACATGTGGAGTTACACAAAGCTATTTGGAAAAATGTGTAAAGCTTTCAAACTTACTATGTACAAAGTTTTAAAATTGATAATGTGACAAATACAAATATATTTCCTCCATTGACACGTTCAATTTAGACACACACTTTAAAAGAGGAGAAAATGTTAAAACAGGTGGGTTGATCATGTGTTTAGTTTATTTAATCAAGTTTGTGGTGGGGTCACTTAAAAGAAACTTTCCAAAAAGGAATTTACGTCAACTAAAAAAACTTCCCAAAAAGGAAAATGCGTCAACTGAATAAATGGAGTTAGTAAGATAAAAAAGCCAAGAGCAAGAATTAAAGATGTTGATTTTGGGTCAAACTTGTTTTTCTACTAGGAGTCTCGAGCAGGGTAAATATTGCTACTGATAAGCTGATTGCAGAGATTACATTTCCCATAAATGTCAACCAACACACTATACACAAGAATCGTGTTGCTGAGATAGCAATAGATTACCCTAAAATGTCCCACAAGATTGATAATTCAGTGTAACAAGAAATTACAAACCAGACAATTTAGGGAAAAATTCACTGTAAGCAATTTATTCCTTCTAGTCACTAGCCCTCAAGAACAATAAACATATCCAAAGTAAATCAATGCAGAAAGACGGACTTCATTCTGAACCATAAGCAGTTAAGCACATACGAGTAAAAGGGAACCGATACAGACAGACGTATATTCAATGTAAGTCTCGATAATTATGACTAATTCCATCAGCGAAACTTGAATCCTTCCTACCGCTAAGTGCTACAAATTTAGCTTTGAATTTCAATATAGGATATTTTTGGATCAAATTTGAGCCATCATATGCTTCCTTAAGGAAAACAGTACTTCGAACACCCTTATTGGTGATATAGAAGATACCATGATGCTTAATTAAACAAAGTATTAGCCTAGCAGGTAAGAGCAGCTCGGACTGAAAGGCACTCATTTGAAAAGATGTCATCCTCTTCTCAATAGTCAAGCTTAGAAGCTCATGGAGCACTGCCACAATTCTTTTCCTAGCCTTAGGGTCCGCCTGATTAAACCTTCTTGCATTCAAGTATGGAGAAGGAAATTCTGTTTTCTGCCATCTCTCGAGTTCTTCTAGAAAACCTGTATTTGGCCGAAAACCAGCAGGATAGCATATACGAAATGCATATGGACCAGGATAATTGCCATCCTTTGAAATCTTAACTTTCTTTCCTCTCCCTCCATCCTTTAATTCCCCTTCTCGAACCAAATTCTCCTCTCGAGCAGTTACTCCTAGTGAAGAATTCCAATTTTCCAAGTGCAAGTAAGCCTTTCCATTAATCTCTTTCACTGAAAAGAACTCAGGATACTTAGGAATCAATGATTTCTTGTAATCTAATGGCAAACCCAATTCATTTTCTATAAGATCAATCTTTTCCATTGGCACCTTACAATCAACTGTCAACATTAACAACTTCCTCAGATTCTTAACCAGAATAGGCTCCATAAGCATTCGCGCTTCATCTTCTTCAACTGCAACTCGTTGCGCTTTGTCAGTAAGCCGAACTGCAACAGGAGCGCGGTCACCACCACTAACATGAAAGATTGTAGGGTACTTTTCAATGGCAGCCATACAATTCCATTTCTGCACAAAACCCACTTCCTTTTCAAGATCCCTAAGAAAGATACACTTGTTTTTCTGGGATTCAATGATGTCTTTGAGCTGCAGGATTACAGCAGGTTTCTTCTGAAGGTCCATGACTTTGTCAAGTTCATGAACCCTATAATAGACTTTCTTCTTAGGTTTGCTACCTCCACTGGTTTTATGCCTGGTTTGTACCAACATATGACTCAAATTCTGACATGGGTTTGAACTCAATGCAGCAAAATTGTTCATAAATAACCCTTTGAAGCGCATCATGATCAGAAATGTTCTTTGAGGCCTTTCGTCGAACAGGTGGTGTGCAAAGTGCATTCAGCACCACTCCAATTTATCCTGATGATTTGCTAAAATAGGTAAATTAACCAAAGCAATTCTATGAATACTTTGTAATGTTGATCCCCATTATAAACAAATTTGATCAAGTTTTTCTCTTCTTTGAAAACTGTGGAAAACAAAAAGGGTAGAAGAAGGCAATGGCGGCGCTGTTTTCTTGGTAGCCATGAATTCGCTGATGAAATTAGGAGTGAATTCACGATCACTGAGAAAGGTGGGTTTGAGATAGTGGTGATACGGAGCTGCTGGTGGTTGCAGTGGACCAACAGAGTTGCTGGTGAGAGAGGGGTAGAATTGTAGCAACCTACCCTATTCAAAAGGAGAAAATACAAGTTTATAAAGGTCATAAACAAAATCGGTTGGTCTAAGGGTATACAATCGTCTATATATGTGGCCATGTGGGTAACTTTGTAATATCAAGCAAAAAAAAAGTTAAACGTTGTCAACTTAAGAATGTTTTTGGATTGAAGGAAATGGAGGGAAAAGAAGAGAAGGGAAATGGAGAGAAGGAGTTTCTTCCATTTGGATAAAAAAATTAGAGATGAAGGGAATTGGAGAGGAGAGAAATGGAGGGACTAAATTCTAAGAAAATACTCCCTCCAACAATAAAGAAATTTGGAAGGAAAATTCATCCTTCTTCCTTCCCCTTCCTTTCCCTTCCCTCCCCTTCACCTCCCTCCCTTTCTTTTCCTTCCCTTAACATTACCCAAACAAACTGTAAAGGCGTCAAAGGAGGTTGGGTGATGGATGAGCTTCAATGGAGAAAATCACGCAAAAATCGAGCTTACGAACAACATCAATGGAGGGGGAAGAAAGACCACATGGAGTTTATCATGACTTTATTTCTCTATTTTTCTTAGTGTTTTCATTTAATTCGGCGACAAAGCCGCCAGAAGCATTGTGGTGGTTCATAGGGAGGACGCTTTCATGGAGGATGAAGCTTCAATGGTTCCATTTCCATGGAGGATGAAGCTTCAATGGAGCTGAAACTTTCAAACAACATCAAAAATTAGTACTCCAAAGATACGGAGTTAGCTAACGCTCAACATATAAACACTTTTATATTTACAAAAGTGTCATTAGATAAATATCTTATGTTTATCTTACAAGATCAACTGGGGGCCTGCGGTTCCCTTATTCAAAAGTGTGTTTTTTTAAAGTTATCAAAATTAGGGGAAACAAGATTCTATCGATTGAATCGGATCATATGATAGGATCTTACAATCTCACTTTTTAAAAAATTAGAAACTAATAAAGTTTAGTTAGGCTACTTAAATAGGCTCTTACGATTTCACTTACAAGCAAAAATAAGGTTCTAAACAAGCCCTTAGTGGATAGAAATTTTCAACTTGTCCTTATAGTATGTGACTCATGGTAAGAGTAACACCAAATTAACATTAGTTATTTGTCAAAATTGTATAACTAGACATTGGTCAACCTTTACTTGAGTGAAGAGACATATGTCAAGGTTGTTGATATTCTTTAAGGGACAAAAGAACACAACTTTGAGTCTTTGAGATATGACATTATGACATAAGGGTTGTCAAGAGTAAATGATAATATATGCCCTTGTTTTAAAAGAAGACTAAGTAACCTTTATGCCGCAAACAATATACAAATCAAATTACATGTATGTAGGTGCTTTATATAATGTACGTGTATTCAATTTGGCTCACTAGTTATTTTACTCCACGAATCAGAAAATTTTTAATACAATAGTTGTGTTATCTGGTGACACAAGCCCTAACAAAAAGGAGAACAATAGGGGGGACTTTTGGAAATCAATCTTTAAATAAATAACGTTTTCTTGTTTTTATTGGTTGAAAGAATATGTGTTTATACCACTTGTCATATGCAATAGTTATATATGATTTTTTTTTTTACCCCCGAATATAAACACAAGATGAGGATATAATTGACACTCCTTGACTATACTAAAAATCTAAAATAAGTTAAATTGATTTGCTCTTGTGATTTAGATTTAAGATATAACAAAGGCATGTATAGGTTATGTTAGCTCTTTTACATTACGTGGGTTATTTGAACTTGTGACCTAACGTACACAAACCTTTAATCTTAATCGTCAGATCAAAACCTTATTAGTATTATCGTATTATCAATAATTTGGTAGATGTACATTACTCGTATTTAATTTTAAAATTAAGGACAGACGTATCTTAATAACGTGTGTACGTGTCAACCAAAATAAAACGGAAAAAGTAACAAATTAGGCTTGGTTTCGTAATCTCTAGGGTTTAAGAAAGAGAGTTCCATATTAAGGGTTTATCTGTCAACAATCTCCAATACTCCTCCGAACGTCACAATTCCAAACCTTTTCTTGAATCCAAATTTAGGGTTTAATTGCTGCAAAAAAAATCAACTTCATTGCAAGCAGAAATGAAGGTCAAAGTGATTTCGCGTTCGACAGATGAATTCACTCGTGAACGAAGTCAAGATTTACAGGTTTAATTTTCACTATTCAATAAATGTTAGCTCAATATTACAATTTTTGCAATTAATTTTTATGCTAAAAGCTGTATTTCTTGTAAATTGATTGGAAATTAAAATCAGAGAGTATTTCGGAACTATGATCCTAGTCTTAGACCTCAGGAGAAGGCAACGGAGTATGTTCGAGCTCTTAATGCAGCTAAATTAGAAAAGGTGCATTTATATTTATTCTATTTGTATTGAATTTTTATTTCATTTTGTGAATTATGAGTTCTTTGTTAATGTTTGAGATTTTATTTTTATGACTTTTTTGAGTAATTGAATTGGTGATGAATGTTGTGGGGATTTTGATAGATTTTTGCAAAACCGTTTGTTGGGGCCATGGATGGGCATATTGATGCTGTTTCATGTATGGCTAAGAATCCAACTTATTTGAAATCGATATTTTCGGGTTCCATGGATGGAGGTACCTTGTTCCCTCCCTGAATTTGATTTCGTAATGCTTTTGTTTTATTGTCTGTGGTTTGGTATTGTCGATTGCATTTACTTGCAAAATTTGAAATTATGTTTTCTTCTCTATTTTGGACAGATATTCGTCTTTGGGATATTGCTTCCAGGTAAATTGTGCAACTTTGAATCAACTTTTACTGAGATAAATCTGTTGATTTCTGATTGTTCTCCAGAACTTCTCTTTTTGCTTGGGACTTATCTTATTTGATTAGCTTGTGCAATACTTCCGAGGTTGCATTTGTGATTTGTTCTTTGAATTAGTTACAGAAAAGTGTCGCTCATTAGGCTGGTTGACATAATGCAGTGTATGAGTGTGTGTATTCTCCTCATATAATTTTAAGTTAGTAATTGAGTTTCACCAGTGGAATTTGCTATTATGCTGCGACTTAGGCCTGCTTTTATGAACTTGTTTACTGCTAAAGCTGAATTGTTGATACAGTACAGTGTTGCTAAGTCCTTATAATTTGATGTCACTTTCTCTTGCTTGTCTATAATGAAAGTAAATTTGATACTTGAGACCTGAAAGTAGACTATCTTTTGAATAGATGCGCTACCAAGCAGAATGGTTTTGCCTTATAAATGACAAGAATCATAATTTAGACAAACTACGATGTTATCTATTTTAAATGGCTTTGGTAAATATTTGTTGCTGGTAAGAATGAGAATATGACCCTTATGTTGGTATAGCTTTTTAGATACCCAACGCTCTTAATGGAAAGATCCAATCTTTATGTTTATTGAGGTGTTTTATATCTCGAAAGTTCAAATTTAGGAATTTATGCCTTGTGGCCCAGTGGACCTATTTAACTTAGGTCATAGGACCAATTGTAGAAGACTTACCAAAAGTAGGGACTTCTAATAGACTCCTAGTTAATCTATGGTTGAGACATTTTTAAAGATGAACAACCATAGATGGGACTATTGTCAATTTTCCTAATTACAATCAAATTTTCTATTAGTTGCTGGATTGACCCAATCTAGAAAAACAACTATCAAGGCACTCCCTCCGTTTCAATTTGATAGTCCCATTTTGACTTTTTATAGTCAAACTTTTAAAAGTTTGACCAAATACTCACATTAATATATGTTAAAAATATAGTCATATGAGATATTGTTAGATTCGTATCTATATTTAGTTTTTGTTAATATATAGTTAACTTAAAGATATTGATGGTTAAAGGTACATCTTAAAGACCATGCAAAGTCAAAGTGGGACTATCAAATAGAAATAAAGGGAGTAACTAATTTGCTTATTATCATGGGTAGGTCAAACAGAAGGTTCCGTGTTTCCTTATCCTCTTTATCTTGTAAATGCTTTTTGAGTTTATAAACAGATTACTGATTTGAAGATTCAAAGTCTTATTATCTTCAATAAGTCTAGCCATTCTTCATTGATGTTTTTCCAAAGTGTCATTGAGCTCTACACTAGCGATTATTAATCTAGCAAAGAAGTTAGGGTAACAACACAGTTGTGGCAAAACCCTGATAAATAACAATGAATTTTAGGCCCAAACTATGGCCTATAGCTAATTTAATATATCTCCAAGTACAACAAAACTTTTGGATCTCAAATTTGATCAATTTATGAAGCAAAGTGAAAACACTAGAAAAACGTTAAGTAGAATAATAGTAGCAACCAAAAACTTTCAACTGTACCTAATTAAGTAGATAGAAGATAATTCTAAATATAGCCAAGAAATGTTAGAAACCTCAGGAATATCGAATCCAAGATTAAAAGGTGATTGAGGAAAAACTGTAACTAAAACTTGGATTTGTCTGAAAAAGTCTTCACCTTCTCTGCCTTTTTTGAACCTAGTTGTGACACAATTTGATCAATTCCTCATCTGCAGTGTTATGCTTTACTTGTTCTCTTTCTTTGCCAAACTTTTCACTTCCTCCCCTTACCTACTCTTTAAAAGAAGAGGTCAACTTTTACTTTAGCCACCACCCAAGTACCCAATGCACACTGTTCATTAAATCCCTTTTGAGAATTATATATAGCATTCCGCGTATGCATTTTTCTACTCTGTCTTGAGTCAGATACTGTTATAGGTAACATTGGAGATACATCTAAATTATTTGAATTTAGCAAATTAAAAGCTAAACTGGATAAGTGGATCAATTATGTGGTTTATGATGAAAATGTGAAGAATTTTTCTCAAACTCTTAGTTTGAGAAGTTTCTGAAGTCTCAGTTTGAAATTTCTTGAAGTCTCAGTTCAAAATACAAGTAACGCCTCAGTTTTGTATTTTGATTTGACTCATTGTGAATTTCAAGCAATAGATCTTAATTTCTAAAAACTCAATTCAATTTCATCTAGAACAAAGTTGGCCTTTATATAGGCTTAGCAAAACATTTAATCATTCTAATTATCTTAGGTGAACTCTTAACAAACTTCCCACACAAATCATAAACTAATCCTAACAATCTAAGGCTCTGTTATACTGTTACATTCATCCTAAATGAGGTCAGCGAGTTAAAAAACTTTTAAGTTTTTGTCTAAATTTCCTAACTAATTTTTGGGTGA